AGAAGACTGAACAATTGTAGTGACACGAAAAATCATCTGAATATACTTTGGTTTACTTGCTTTATTTAATTATATTCTGGCTATTCAAATTATTCTCTTTTATATATTCTTGCGATTATCAGTAACCCGTGTTCTTCTAAAATATAGCTTTAGTCAAAATTCCATTTTTTAGTTAAACAAATTGGTTCCGTTACCGGGAATATGATAATCCATTTTATTTTAGCCTAACTTCCCTTGTTGCGTCAACCATGTCGAACAACAATGACAACATTCAGGGAAACCAAGAAAATCAAACAACCCAGCAACTTCAGGGAGATCCACAGAACAATAACGTACTGATTACTTCTCCACAAGGCTCTCCACGGCGATCTCGTGAAGGCACTCCTGATGGGTCTCATACAGATGGACAAGCTCAATTCGAGAATGTTGAAACTATGGATGAGGCTTTACAAAAACTTATTGCCTCTCAAGTCAATAAAGCTCTTCAGGCTTTTGTTAGCCAATTACCTGCTGCACCACCTACACCCACACCAAATAACAACACTCTAGAGAACCCTCACTCCGGACTCGTTAATTCAGGTAGTGGTGGAACCCCCAGCGAATCACAGGAGGGAGAACCAGGTAATTTAGTTAATTCTAATTTACAGAATTTAGTACTAACATTGCAGAAACAGCTCAAGGAGCAAAATGACCGCATAGAGCAAATACTCGGGATGCCACCAGTAATCAAAGGGGTAGATATGGATAAATATTCACAACAACCTTCGAAGCCAAGTGCTGCTCCCCTTCCAATCCCAAAGAAATTTAAAATGCCTGAGATGCCAAAATACGACGGAACAACAGACCCGCGAGACCACGTGACTGCTTTCACAACAGGCGTAAAAGGCAATGATTTGACTAAGCAGGAGATCAAATCTGTATTAGTCAAAAAATTTGGTGAAACTCTCACTAAAGGTGCACTAACATGGTATTCTCTTTTACCCGAAAATTCTATAAATTCTTTTGCTGAGCTTGCAAATTCTTTCATCAAAGCACACTCGGGAGCCCAAAAAGTCGAAAAAAGAACGGAAGATATTTTCAAGATCAAACAAGGGGACTCAGAATTGCTTAGGGAATTTGTGGACAGATTTTAGCGTGAAAGAATGACATTGCCACGTGTACCGGATAACTGCGCAGCTATAGCATTCACGAGCAATTTGAATGAAAAAAGCTCAGAAGCTACGAGGCGACTCAAGGAAAGACTTCGAGAATTCCCAGCTACAACATGGAATGATGTTTACAATCGTTATAGCACAAAATTGAGGATTGAAGAAGATATTATTTCACGACATCAAAAAGAAGAAAAGGTAAGCTCAAGACGGGCTGAAAATGACAAAAGGTCCGGTAAAAATAGGTACGAGCCATACATAGGACCTGCGAGACTCACGGTCAAAGCAGGATAATCAGAGGTACGATTACAGACCAAGGAATAGAGAGCCAGGCTCGTCATCAAGATTTGGGAGTGACCGAAGCGCACGTAAGCCACGAGACAATGATGGAGGTCTAAAGGCAAGGTTTGGTGGCTATAATTTCAACGTGAGCACTTCTGAACTCGTGGGTGTTTTAAGAAGCATGGGAGATAAGGTACGGTGGCCCAAGGAAATGAGATCAAATCCAAACAGACGAAACCCTGATCATTGGTGCGAATTTCATAACGATCATGGGCATAAAACAGTAGATTGCAGGTTTTTGCAGGGTGAGGTTGACCATTTGTTAAAACAAGGATATCTCACTGAACTATTTAGTGAGAAAGGTAAACAAGCATACATGAAGTACATGCAGGAGCCTCCAAAACCACCTTCTCCCAAGAGAACTGTCAATGTTATAAGTGGGGGTGAAGAGATCAACGATGTATCATATAAAAAGGTTTCTAAAGTAACAATTCCCCACGGGAAGCGGCCTCGACATGTCTTGGAGGGAGAAAATATTACGTTCGATGATGCAGATGCCGAGGGTCTATTAACTCCACATAACGACGCACTGGTAATATCTTTACTTATATATGAAACTAACGTGAAACGAGTTTTAATTGATCCAGGTAGTTCCGTGAACATTATTTTGGTAAGAGTATTACGTGAGATGCAAGCTGAAGATAACGTGATACCAAAGGCGCATACTCTATCTGGATTTGATAATTCTAGTGTTGTTACAAAAGGAGAGGTAATACTCACCACATTCGCTGAAGGAGTCGTCAAAGATACAAAGTTCCAGGTGGTAGATATGGAGATGGCTTACAATATGATTCTTGGGAGACCATGGATCCACGAAATGGATGTTGTTCCTTCAACCTTGCATCAAGTCATTAAATTCCCAGCACCATGGGGAATCTGTCAAATCAGGGGAGATCAACAGACTTCCAGGAGCATCAACTCCGTGGCAGATTCAAGTACGAAGGGTGAAGAAAAATAGCAATTACAGAATCCAGTTGAGGATAACATAGTGTCAACCTCAACTGAACAAGAGCAAACGGATGTAGATTCAAGGCATGATTCCATTCAAGAACCAGAAGAAAATGAAAACATCAAAATGACGATAGAAGAGCTGGAGGCTGTGGTTTTGTTTATACACTGGCCAGAGAGAAAAGTGTATATAGGAGCCAATCTTAGCCCCGTGGTGAAACGTAAGTTGATTGAATTTTTAAAATCTAACGCAGCCTGTTTTGCTTGGTCCCATTCTGACATGACAGGGATACCATCGGAGGTGATCACTCATAAACTAAATGAAGATCCATCATATCCCCCAGTCAAGCAAAAGAAAAGAAAGCAAGGAACTTTCAAGAATCAGGTGATTCAAGAAGAAGTCCAAAAATTGCTAAAAATTGGTTCTATTCGTGAGGTAAAGTACCTAACTGGTTAGCTAACACTGTTGTAGTTCCAAAGAAGAACGGTAAGTGGCGGGTTTGCGTAGATTACACAGATCTTAATAAAGCCTGCCCTAAAGATTCTTTTCCACTGCCACACATAGATCAATTGATTGATGCAACTGCAGGTCATGAACTATTAAGTTTTTTGGATGCATATTCAAGGTATAATCAGATTAAAATGGATCCAGGAGCTGAAGAAAAAACTTCCTTCATAGCAGACAGGGGGACTTACTGTTATAAAGTAATGCCCTTTGGTCTAAAGAACGCAGGAGCAACGTATCAGAGGTTAGTTACCAAAATGTTTCAAGAGCATTTGGGAGAAACTATGGAGGTATATATAGATGATACGCTCGTTAAAACTCAGCATTCAGGAGATCATATATCGCATCTATCTGAAACTTTTAAAATTTTGCGGAAATTTAATATGAAGTTAAATCCCGAAAAATGTGCATTTGGTGTTGCATCAGGTAAGTTCTTAGGTTTTCTTGTTTCTAACCGTGGTATTGAGGTGAATCCTGTACAGATTAAAGCCATTGAAGAAATACCTGATATACTCTCGAGCAAGAAATAGGTTCAAAGATTAACTGGGAGGATTGCAGCTTTGGGAA